AGAAAAGCTGCTCCAGCGCCACTTTGTCCATCACAAAACCCACTTGACCAGACCCGGGCCGCCGCGGTGGGAAGCCAGCGACTAATCGCTTGAGCTATGGCGCAGCTCTACAAGATTTATTTACTTTTTGTTAATTGGATTTGTACGTTATAAAGCTGGGTTGCCTGTTGTTTTATGGGTCTCTTACACTGAGGTCAAAACATATTTTGGNACCGGTTCTCACGGTCGGTTAACACCACATATACACAGTGCCAAATCCCAGAAGACTGCTTTCTTCATAGTCACCGCCGTGAAAGCCTCAAATCTTACATATTTTGGAATTGTTTCAGAACACGAACCCGAGGAGAAATTTTGAACATATGGGGAAGGATGTAAAATATAATGAGGGACATTGGAATGTGTACTGTTCATCACGTAACACCCTCTATCCGCAAAAGTTGGCACTAACTTCGCCGACAAGTGGCGGTCGCTCGGTCGGTATAGTTCGCTTGCGGACTACAAGGCACGGAGTTTTTTTTTTTTTTTTACTGTTCATCAAATATTATTAGAGGATCATATCGGGGGAGACGAGATGATCGGGGTATGTAGTACGTATGGGACAGATAGCACATACATAATAAGTAACAACAACTGATTTAGAAATATATACCGCTTAGTCTGTTTAAAAGGCGGGATAAAGGTAACGTCAGTAACGCCCCCACATGCAGGGTTTTTTGAAGGAAAAATCGTGTGATAATATCCGTAACTAAGGGATTCGTCAGTCTTTGCCCCTAACTTCAGTAGTTGACGTGCGTTAATACCACAGAGGTATGAAAATTAGTAAACAAATACCGTGTTGCCTGCCAGACAGGAGCAGTTGTCCCGTCTCTTGAACTTTGCCACTTATGAATTGAGCTGCTTTCATACGTTATTTATTTATTTATTTATTTGATTGTGGGGTTCAAGAACCGCTGGCTGCTGAGCCTTACTTCATTAAAGTATCTTATAGAGAATATGTGTTTTCACGTGTTAAAAATGAAAGGGTCGTCGTACTATTACGAACTAATTTATGACACACGCTATGCATGTGGGTGTGAGTCGTGTTAGCCCGGCGTAGGCAAACACCATGCGGCCAAGTGCGAGGGGGGCGGGAGGTTACAAGGCCTTCAGCGAAATTCTTTTTAAGATCCAAACGTATAGATAGTGGTTTCTGGATTTGTAATTTGATTCTTAACATCTGTGAATCCTTGCAATGCTTAGTAATAAATTTGAAGTGTAAATTATTACATTTATTTCGCCATTTGATTGTGTTATTTGCATAAAATATAAAATCAGCGTTTAATATGTCTTCGTCCACCAGCCTGCTGCACTGCATATTTCATTGCCGAAAGGATTTAAGAATCGCAATGGGAATTGGCGTAGGAGTACCTACTCTAGCATTTGTTGGTCGGACTTAACATAAAATAAAACTCCATGGCCCGTAGTCCGCAAGCGAACTATTTCGAACGAGCGACCGGCCCTTGTCGGTGAAATTAGTGCCAACTTTAGCGGATAGAGGGTGTCCCGTGGTCAGCGCAACGGATCACCACGGCCGTTTATCTCGGTTTTCTAGACCGGAGCCGCTATTTCCTTGAAACAGCGACATTAAATCATTAAAACAGCGACAGGTAACGTTATTTTGTATGTTTGTTGTGGACAAAATATTCTTAATCTTTAATTGAGCCTCTGGTATAGCTCTTAACTTTGTTTTCACTTAAGTGCTTGAAGGTTTGGGACACAACACGCATATATATGTGTCCTGCTTACAATGTCCTGAAATATGGATATGGGTTTGTGTTCCGGACTTGAAATGCTAAATGCACCCGGCTTCTGGCAAGTGGACTGCACTTTCTCTCAAAGTTTGGGGTCATGTCGTGAACCACCAGCAACATCCCAGACGAATGGAATCATATACAGGTATGTTGCCTGACATCCTTAGAGCACAGTTGTGCGGGTCAGGACATTGTTTCTTTCCCACTCCTTAAAGCATTTGAGTTCGAATCTCATACTGCATGGACAGGCATGTCTTGTCACTGAGTTAGCAGTTTGTAGTCTTCAAGAATTCGATACAGGTTGGGGGAGGCAGAGAAGAGTAAGGATAAAAGTAACAAGAGGGAATTTGAAAGAGTTGACGAGAAGGAAAAAGCAGATAAAAAAGAAAAGGAACAAAGAAGACAAAGAGAAAGAATGAGGAAATGAAAATATGCAAAAAGAAAGAAAATACCAAGGAATATAAGCATCGCGAAATCAGAAAAAGAAGAGGAAATAAAGGGGAAAGAGTAGAAAAAGAAAAGTAAAATCAAGATAAGAGGACAGAGCAACAGAGTAAAGGAGATGTAGATGAAAGAGCAGGCGAGAGAGATGCAGATGATGAAGAGAAACAAGATGATAAGAATGAAACGAAAAAAAGGAACTAGAGAAGTAAGAAGTAGAAGAAGACAGATTACAAGATAAGGAGAAATGCACACTGTTTGTCTTCATATCCCTGTGCTTCTTGCCTTGCGTGTGTTGAAAGGCTTGAGACAGGCAGAATCACCGGCGTGCATGGGCGGACCACTGACATTCTTAGCACGTCGTTGGCAGTTCCACATCTGACGGGCGGCAGTAGGCGGAAGCTGTTCTGTCGCCGCTTTCAGGAGGCCTGTGAACCGTTCACCACCGAGGAACATTATCCGTGATGTATCGCTGCATTTTAAAGAGCGCGTAACTACGTTTCTACTTGAGCGCAGCAGAGTCCTGAAGTTGAGGCGACCCAATATTCATAATATCCTCTTACACTACATGTGTGGAGAATCAGTTCCGCACATTGGCCTCTGTCTATCGGCCCCCCCCCACATGTTATACCTCCTAAATCCTTGCCTTTCAGCCTCTCGTATATAGTTAGGTTAGCCGTCGCCACAACAAAGTGATTTATAATCAATCAGTATTTTACTACAATTGAATATTTATTTCCTGCTACATGTTTCGGTCTCGTAGGACCATCATCAGGCAGTGATGTAAGAATACGTCTAGGGTTACTGAATTCCTAATATGGATCTATATTAGTGCAACATGTCATATTCCATGATGCAGAATTGTGAAATTAAGTATAAAAAATAAAAAAACAACACAACACATTACAACACTCGCAGCTAAGAAGGGAACACACATCACAAGACACCAAGACGAAAGTAAAAATAATAAGTACGTTTTTTCACGTTGCAGGTTTACACAGAATATAAGAAAAACGACCCCCATAGTGGAAGAACCACACACAAGTTTTAATTATGACACATAAATTGAATAATCTTAACAAGTTTTAGTGTGTGTAAATTCATTATAGTTGACAAATACGCACTTTTTAAATAATTTTATAGAGACAAGCGATGAAATAGATTAGCGTAATTAGGGCACCTGATGATGGCACTATGTTGCGGAAACATGTCGTGAAGTAACGGGTGAAATTGAGTGCACTACAAGACGGCAACTGTATACATATCATGGATAAAAAATATATACCTAGGATATTGAAAAAATATACTATACAAGTATATTGACTTTGTATTAAAAAGTATTGAAAAATGTATGAACAATTATTTAAAAATTATTAAGTTATGTTTTAGCCCCTCGGCTCCCCTCCCTACATGAAGGCATATTTAGTTTGCAGGGGAGCAGGAAACACTTGACCAGTTGTTAGTACAGTTGCTGCACGAATTTTATACGCAGTACATTTGTATTGGCGACTGCTCATAACATTGCATTTTTTGCCGTACGTTTTAAGTACGCCTCTTTATTGCCGTAATTATTCTTATCGTCTGTTGTTGTTATTATTATTATTATTATTATTATTATTATTATTATAACCTTCACGTTTGCATTTTTCCTTTCCTTATTCTGCATTATTTAATATTAATATTGATAGTTTATTTATTTATTTCTTGATCTGTACAAGAAATTCCCCGCCTTGCATATATCACGAAGGTTCATTGCAGTATTCACAAGATCCCGTCAGTGTATCATATCCTGAGCCTTACTAATTCAATCAGCGTCCTTACACTCTCTTCATTTTATATACATTTTAATATTATCCCCATCTACGCCTAGACCTTACATGTAATCTAGTTACTCATATCAGGTTTCTCCGTTACGGTTTTATGCTACATTCACCGCCTATCGTATCCTCCTTTATTCCATACAAATTCATTATTTTGGATCGGAACTAATACTGAACTTTTGGAGAGAGCTTGAATTTGTTTCTGGAATCTGGTACAGAAGTAAACATACGTTTGTCCTTGTTCGGCCTTCAGGTTTCTTCTTGTAAACATTCACTTGATTTACAGCAGCAGTTACGAAACGAAACCTCTTTCAGAACACTTATGCTCTCCAAGTAGCGTTCATTCCAGAAAGAATAGCTTAACTACCGTTAGCTTACAGATTCCTGAATGGAACACATTTGCGACTGTTAGGTTTATTGCTGCAGCTTGTCAGTTAATTGGAAAACATGCTTATTGTGTCTCAAGCTTTGTTTCACCTTGAAGGGGAGCTGTTTTTTGAGAAGCAAATTGTCCCTCGGCTGGTCAGTACGTTGCCCGTCTTTTATTAAATCTCACGGTTCATTGTTTGTTCACTAGAATTCATTATTGGTCCATGTCATCTTTTATTATGGCTCTACAGCCCCTTGTTGGGCCTTGGCCACTTTTTTAGTTTCTTGATCCTATACACAGACGGTAGGACTCTTTGGACGCGGGATCAGCCCGTCACAAGGCCTCTACCTACACAGAATAAACGCACACAATACAGACATCCATGCCTTGAGTGAGATTCGAACCCACGATAGTAGCGTTCGAGCGATCAAAGATAGTTCATGCCTTAGACGGCGCGGCCACTGTGATTGGCTGGTCCATGTCAGGAGCTGCTTAAATTCTGTCCATATATTCAATCACATTTAATCACCCGCTTTAATATTATCATCCTAGGTATACTAACTACTGTTTTGTTTTCAGATTCTCTACCGAAATGCTGTATTCATGTCTCATCTTCTGCATTACTCCATAAGCCTCCCGTATTTCCGTGTTAATATTTTGTGAAGGCTTCAACGTAGAAAAATCTCGTCATGTGACTTGTGAGATTATTAAGTTGGTCCAGAAAATGGAACTGTGTTCCTTCGGGAGCACGGTTCCATACGGCGACAGAATATGGGCGCATGATGAGACGTGGGATTGTGATCCATGACAGGATTTTAAACGGTACGCGGTAGCGTAGTTGATTGAGGCACTATGCTACAAGCCGGAAGGTGGAGGGTTCGAGTCGAGGTGAGCTAGATTTTTTCAATTTATCTAATAATTTAGGCCACACTATGACCCTGGGGTCGACTGAGTCTCTAACAGAAATGAGTACCAGGGTAAAGGGCTGCCGGTGCGTAAGGCTGACAACCTTACCGCTATCTGTGAGCCGACTATCAATAAAATGTGGCAGCCTTGACATCTCACAGCCCTGTGGGCCTTCACGGCCTGCTACAGTGATAGCTTTACCGTTTTACTTTTACCTTCGGCTGTAAGCAGGAAGGTGGTTAATTACTGTGAGATCTTTGAAAATGGTGCTCCATCATAGCCCATTAGATTAAAATGCTAATCGCCGTTTCCGAGAGTTCTTTGAAAACATTGTCATGAAAATGCAATAGATTTTTGTTTTAGAACAGCCATCCTAACAAATGTTCCCCTGTAATTACATCGCTCATACCGTACGTCAGCGTCAGGCGTAAGCTTCATCGTGAAACAGTCTTGGGGCTTGTGTATTGGGGTTGTATCTCCATAGTACTGCAGCTCGTAGAGTTCTGGGATTTATGTGTCCCTTGCACGGAGTGTATGAAGTGAAGGCATAATCAGGATATCGTCCCTGTTTGTCCTCCCGCATATTTTCAACGAAGGTCAGCATTGTTCATATCGGTCAAATAAGGTCGTTCTTTACATGAAGTTCAAATCGAACTTTATTGATTTCCTCAGAAAATATTGTAGTTGTACATAACATAAAATTCCGATCGCAGCTGCCGTGTGGCCTAAGGCATGAACAGTCTTCGGCCTCTCGAACACTGGGATCGTGGGTTCGAATCCCACTCGAGGCATGGATGGTTGTCTGTGTGTGTGTCTGTATAGGTAAGAGGCCTTGCGACGGGCTGATCCCCAATCAAAGAAGTCCTACCGACTGTGTATAGGTTTAGGAAACTGAGAAAGCAGCCAAGGCCCAGCAGATGGCCGTAGAGACATAGGTAGACATAACGTAAAATCGGTATATAGATCTCTAGGTCTACAACGTTTATTTCTGATATTTTCTAATAAGGTAAATATTTAACATACAAAAAAGTGTGACTTAGGCTGAATACCCAGCCATGCAACAAAGTTTTTGTTGTGTGGTTGCGAAGTAACCGATTTGACTTTGTGTGCATTTATGTTTGTGTTGTCAAAACACACATTTACATACTAAAATAGGCATTAAGTTAATTTTGATAATCTGTTTAAGTTTCACACAAAGATAAATTAAGGCATTGTGAATAAGTACATATACAATATAATATGCAGTTCAAATTTAAATTTAAATTAAGCCACGAAAAGATAAATGAAGTAGTGGAATTCAGCCTCTTTCGGAGCTGCAAACTCGAAATCAGGGGAGGTTATCCATTTCGTGATGTGGGCAAAATTAACTTTAATTGCCTCGCTACAAGATTTTCAATAAATAAACCTGAAAGCCGGTCTCGGTAGCCGAGCGGTCTAAGGCATGCACTGTCTTCGCTCTCTTGGAAACCGGGATCGTGGGGTCGGATCTGTTTCCTGTGAGGTACGAACTGAATTCTTATACACTGCCGGTCACGGTAGCCGAGCGGTCTAAGGCATGTACTGTCTTCGCTCGCTTGGAAACCGGGATCGTGGGTTCGGATCTGTTTCCTGTGAGGTACGAACTGAATTCTTATGCACTGCCGGTCACGGTAGCCGAGCGGTCTAAGGCATGCACTGTCTTCGCTCGCTTGGAAACCGGGATCATGGGTTCGAATCCCACTCGGTATGGATGTTTAGTTTGTGTGCGTGCGTTTTTCTCTGTTTGTGTATAGGTAGAGGCCTTGTGACGAGCTGATCACCCGCCCAAGGAGTCCTACCGAATATGTAAGATCAAGAAAAACCGAAGTTAACGGAGAAGTTCATGGAGGTAGGCCTAGGCCCACTGGGGCTGCAGTGCCAAGGGGGGGAAAAAAACCTGAAAGTCAATGAGATATGTTTTTTTTTATTATTATTTCTTGCAATTTACAATCTACTCTACAAGGGAGCAATAAGTAAATATGTTGTAAGAAATCACTTGTGCAGAGTGATCATCCAGTGATGATTCTCCTATGTAGTATACTATGCATTATGTTGTTGAGTATGGCTACCCATCTTCAACACTGTGTTCTTTTAAGTCTGGGGGCCATTGTTGTTTTAGTCTTCGTGTGATGTTTAATGGGTTGCTTAGTTCAGTTACGCAACTGTTTTCAATGAGATATGTACAGTCGTAGAAAACTTGTTTGGAAAATACGTGGACTGAATTTTGAAGTCAGTCTTTCCACACTTCGCTTGCTTCAGTCATTATATTTTTTTGTAAGAGGTAACTTATACTGGTAGTTCAAAAGACGTCGGAGTGACACACAAGATAATTACGAAGTTCTCAACCAAATAAATGTGTGCAAAGGTGAACAAAATGCAATCCACGTATTTTGTGTGTGATTTTGTTTTAGGTACAGAAATTAAATCTGTCTTTCCACGTTCTCCTGTCCCCAGAATTTCTCTTGCTGTGTAAATCAGACAAATGGATCTGTAGCATTTTCACAATCCACGTCGCGAAATACTTGCTGGAGGTTTGCATGAGATTGCTGGTATTAGCCCCCCCCCCATAAACGTAGGCTGAAAAATAAAACAGATCATTCTTTCTTATCAGACTCTAAAAGTCAGCTAATTACTCTTAGCCTTCATTTTAATTTTGCACGTACAACAATTATATGTATGTTAGAAATTTTTGAAAACAAGAAGACTTTATAAGTTGGAGATTGGGTGCAGTCCGCAGATAATCGATTTTTTTTTTAATATATACGTGGGGCCACGCGGTAGCGAAGTTGGTTCAGGCACTCTGCTACAACCTGAAAGATCGCGGTTTTAAATCCCGATAAGGTCATTGATTTTTTTTCAACTAACTTAACCCTTCCAGCAGCACTGTAGCCTCGAGGTTGACTCATCCTCTAGCAGAAATAAGTATCAGGGATCTTCCCGGGGGCAAATGGCGGCCGGCGTGTAAGGCTGACAACCTCACCGCCATCTGTGAGCCGACTATCTAGAAAATGTGGGAGCCTAGACGTCTCACAACCCTATGGGCCTCCACGGCCTGTTACAGGGATAGCCCTACCTTTGTAATATATACGTACCTCAAATATCCCATTTCATTCTCCTTGATTTGGTCATCATCTTACTAGGTGGGGTATACAAATGATGAATCTCCTTGTTGTGTAATTGTTTCTGTTATTAAGAGTTCTGTCCTTTGGGATATATCATATAATCTGTTCTGTTTGCTACCTGCTGCATGTTGATTTATTGCTTGACTTGTTCTTCGACCCTGAAGGTGAAGGAGTCTTGGCTCTCCGAAACGTCACTTGACTTCATTATACTCGTATCCCAGAAGGCAGAACTCTTCATAATCACCACAGTGAGAACCAGTCTCCATTATTGTTATTCATATATCACAGGTGCTTGTGCACGTGTCAGCTGCAACTATCCCTTGCCATGGTTTAGTTGTATCGCAAACGTTGATTAGACAAATATGCAGTGGAAGTGCGGTTCCATCGAACCCACCATTTTGCCTCCCGTAGCAGGGTTTTCTGCAGTGTCAGCATAGGAGCCGTGGCTATAATCTTGTAGGGGAAATACCGGGAAGCTTCAACACAGATATGAACGTATATATCAAGTATTTCCTGGAACCATTAATTGAAACACGTTTTGCTAGAGCCAGAGCGAGACGTGGCTTGGAAAGGAAACTTTGTAATAGCATAATGGCTCTTGCTTTGCGACACGCTTGAATATAGCGACCTGAACATCAGTTTGGATTTTACGCAGAGAGAATACCTTGCAGATGATTGGAAACGTGGGTGCGCGTTTACAAACAGGTTCCTTGTATTGTTATGGGATGTTACTCATACTTCAAACTGTGTTCAAAGCTGCATTTGATAGGTCTTGCGTCGATTTATTACGTACAGGTCATTCGTACATATAAACGTGCTGGCTATGGCCGAGCTATAGCTCAAGCGGTTAGTCGCTGGCTTCCCAACGCGGCGGCCCGGGTTCGATCCCGGGTCTGGTCAAGTGGGATTTGTGGTGGACAAAGTGGCGCTGGGGCAGGTTTTCTCCGAGTACTTCGGTTTCCCCTGCCAATCTTCATTCCACCAGTTGCTCCACAATCACCCTCACCTATCATCTGGGGCTGGTACAATAGGCCAGAAGTGGCCGCAGTACAAGGGACTTGTTAGTCCCACCCCACTAGCAATAAAAAAAAACGTGCTGGATAATTTGAATAAAAAAATCATCTGTACTCTACGTCGCTGGATTAAATTATGCTCTCCATACTGTGCATGAAATAGTGTGAGTCCTTCACAATATGAAAGTAAGGACAGCGTTATAGCTTATATAAATATAAATTGTGTCATTAGTGGGCTCTGTATGGCTTCCCGTTCGTTTAAACTCGTCCGTGTTACGTACAAAGGCTAACGAGAACAGTACATAGATCACTGAAGAATGAATTCATCTGTACATAATTCCCACGTGTATGTGTTGTAAGTGAAAGTTACAGACTGTTACTCAAACATTTTCCTTGATCTTCGTGTTTATGCTTTCTTACAAATGCAGAATTTGTAGGCCTGTTTATGACAAACTCAGTATATAGCTGTGCATTGCTGGCTGTAGTGTTTCATGAAATATTGACAACTAATGAACAATAAACACGAACTTCACTCTGTCGCTTTTGTTCCTTTACACCCTAACAGTAACATGCAGAATATCTGCGTACATTTAAGATCCTTCACGGCACACGCTGACTGGCATTATTGTCACTTTCAGCTCAGATGTTTGCATGTGTCCGAGTTAGTATTATTGATGAATTACAGTGCCAAACAGACTGGCGGTCATACCATGCTTACTTACTTAGCGGCCTCCGTAGTCTAGAGGTAACGTTTTCACCTCATGACTCGTAGTACGCGGGTTCAAATACTCGGCGGAGGTCGTCGAATTTTTAAGGGCGGAAAAAAATTCAGGGAACAAGTCCTCCGGGAGGGACTTTAAGCTGTGTGTCCCGTGTCGTAACTTTACGGCTCGTATAAGAACCTCATATCCCCAAAAGGGATCACTGAGCCAAATTCCAGGACGTTTCCCGCCCAACAATAGTCTCTAAGGCCTCTGATAGATGGGGGAAGCATTATAGACACCGCTAAGCAAGTGGCCGAACTCGCTTGCTCGGCGGGACTGATGGTACGCACCATTTATCGGTAGGGTATAGAGACTGGTAGAATATCATAGAGGGAAGCACAATAGATCAAACTGGTCGCGGTGCATGGGGAAACCCACCCTCTCTAAATAACTAACTACTTACTTACTTACTTACTTACCTACTTACTCACTCACCCATGGAGCTGAGCACTTCTTGAGGAGTCACCGATTCTGCAGCTACTCAAGAATTTCCCAGCATTTTATGGAACACGAAGGTTCATTACCGTGTTGACAAGAGCCCTTAACTTTTCCCTATCCTGAGCCAGATCAATCCAATCCATACCATCCCATCTCTCTCAGATTCATTTCAATATTGTCCACCCACCTATGCCTTGGTCTTCCCAGTGGTCTCTTTCCTTCTGGCTTTCCCATCAATATCCTATATGCATTCCTCGTCTCCCACGTTCGTGCTACATGCCCTGCCCACCTCATCCTCCTTGACTTGGCCTTCATACCGTATTTCATGAAACCACATAAAGCCAATAACTAATGAATCAATTGTTCGTATCACATACACAGACACGAGGAAACCAGAAATAAGGCTGTAGCTGTCCTCAGGAAAGAAGAGAGACTAGCAGAGCTTTTGATACGGAATTTGTCAGTAGCTACGTAAAATCCAGGGAGCAGACATCAGTCTGTAGACAGCAGTGGATTAAAATCATAAATTCGCCTTAAAATGCACGGACTATGTTTATCCGCCATATGTTTCTGTGTCTGTGGTCTAGTGGTCAGAGTTACTGCCTGCAAACCCAGAGGTACCGGGTTCGTTTCCTGGCGGCTGCCAGATTTTCTGAGAAGCAGTGGGTCTGGAACGGGGTCCCCTCAGCCTCTTGAGGATAACTGAAGAGCTACGTATTTCAAGGAAATAGCCGCTCCGGTCTAGAAAACCGAAATTAACAGCCGTGGGGATTCGTTACGCTGACCACGCGATACCCTCTATCCGCTAAATTTGGCTCTAACTTCACCGACAAGCGGCGGTCTCTAGGTCGGTATAGTTCCCTTGCGGGCTACAGGCCACGGAGTTTTGTTTTTGTTTGTATTACAAAGATTTGCTCCTTTGCATGAATAATGTAGTATTAAGTGACTGTGTATGTATCACAGACGAAAAAGATGTCTTGCCTACACGACGCACCCAGAAGATTTAAACAGGAATTCCTGCTGTGGCCTTCCAATCATTTATCAGACGAACCTCACCTAAGTAACATTTGAAAAGTCAGTTGATCCCCCCCCGTCAAGTAAGCACGTGGACTTCCATTACAGTCATCGTTGCGTATTCTGCGCAGATCTATCAGGACACGATTTCAGACCCTTGACCCTTTACGGCGTTGGTGTTACTTGCCTTAACTGCCGTTCTAGAGAGCAGATGTGGAATTAATGAGCAAGAACGTAGCGTGACCAAGTATACTGATGTTTAGAAAGAATTCGTTAAATAGTTACGGAAATGCGGACACACACAGGAAGATCTATCAGTAATGCATTCATTTTATACACGTGGTGCTTAGGCATGTGTGAGTGACTGTCACTTGTTCTTACAGCTCGATGACGCGGCCCTGCAGCTCTACAAGGATGGCGACTACGGCTCCTACCTCGATCTGGAAGCTTCCATCAGCGAGCAGCAAGAAGAATTCGATGGCTTCCAGACAAAGTGAGTCATGATTCATATAAACGTATTAAAACAGTTCACAAACTGTGGCACATCTTAATTAAAATGAATCTTGAAAATGGTTGAACGTGGGTTCCCCATGGAAATCATCTTCGATATTTTTATGGCAGCACAGTCAAAGTTAGGCAGCTTTTACGTACCCAAAGTGTACGGTGCGATACGGAACATGTTGCTGCGTGCCTGAATATTCACTGTTCGAATCCTAGTTTAGGATTCTCTGTCTTGAAGGCAGGAAAATTTGTAGTCGGGAGATTTTGGAGTTCAGTTTTGACCCAGAGACACGGTATTCTGACGCTTTCTATGGTTTATCTCGGTCCCTCGAGACAGATACTGGGATGTTATCGCGACATGGGTAGGAAATGTTGGCTTATTTTAGCGAAACGTTTAAAAAATGCTCCTATGAGCTTTTCCATATCTGTTTTGTTCTCGCACTGTGTACATTTCCTAACTTGTTATCTTGGTCACCGATCGACTTAGGGCTCACTCATTCTTTTGTTGTGTTTCTGGGGTTCTTTCCTTCAGGGAAAACAGCCGGAGCCTGAACCACACAATTTACTTTTATCCATTTCCACGTCTTGGTACTTAAGACAAGAAAGAGACAAGGAGATATACGTATTTCATGAAACAGTTTTTTCCGTGTTGCAGTAAAACAAGATCTTTCGGCCTTTTCCATTAGACATGTAATTAAATAATATTTTATCGTGTGTCTGGTCCATCACTCTAAGGCGACAAGTTGCTTGCGTATTTCTTCATCGACACGTGTACCACAGCCGTGTCATCCAAGGATACGGCTACCAGAGTCCTTCTTCCGAAGTATAAGGGGCAGTCAAATGAAAATGGGTCACCACGCATAACTCACACGGCGCGGAAGTTGGTAACACTGGAATTTGCTTACCGTATGGACACCTGGTGGGGACTCGGGAAATCACAGTGACAACGTGCCCTTGCACACTAGTCGTANAGGACGTGTGCCACTACAAGATGATGCTCGCCCAGGACAGGCTCATCGTGTCACCACTCCTGATGTTATTGCTGCGTTGGATGGTCATATCCGGGCAAACCGACGGATCACTGTGGAAGAAATTAGTCTTTTGATGGGAATAAGTCACGGTTCCGTACACGCCATTGTGACAAAACACCTGCTGTACCGCAAAATCTGCGCGCAGTGGGTTCCACATCAACTCACGGAGGAACAGAAGACTCAGAGAATGGCTGCAACACTGGGTCACTTGCAACGATTGCCACTGGGGACGAAACTTGGTGCCACCATTTTGAATCCGAGAGCAAACGGCAGAGCCAACAGTGGAAACACGTGAATTCTCTCCCACCGAAGAAATCCAAAGCCATACACACAAGTTCCAGTAAAGTGATGATTACGTTCTTCTTCAACTGCAAGGGCCCTCTGCTTGTCGAATTTCTCGAGCATGGGGCCACAAACAGCGCACAGCGCTATGAAGAAACTGCAGAAACTGAGACGTACCGTAAAGTCAAAACGCCCTGGAATGTTATCGAGAACGGCATTATCCTTCTTTATGTTAATGCGCGCCCCCACACTGCCAACTCTGTGAGGAAACGCTACAGAGATTTGGTTGGGAAGTGCTTCAACATCCCCCTTACAGCCCAGATCTCTCCCCATGTAATTCTCACATTTTTGGAGACCTGAAGAGAGACATTCGTGTACATCGGTTCGCATCGGACGAAGACGTGTGTGGCTGGGTAATGATGTGGTTCCGTAGACAGCCCACAAGCTTTTTCAAGGTTGGGATTGACCGTCTTATCTCCCAGTGGGATAAATGTATTAACAGTTTTGGAGATTACTTTTGAGGTAAGAAATGTTCTTTAATATGTTTTGGCTTCTGACCCGTTTTCATTTGACTGCCCCTCATACTTTGTTTTTGACCGAGCTGGCTGCATGTACTAGCTTCGAATCTCGGTTAGAATACCTGCTGTTTTTACTGAAACTTTTCGTGGTTTTCCTCAGTCCCAACAGGAAAGTGCAGCAATAGGGTTTCGATTAGGCCACAGTCGCTTCCTTCCAAACTGTTAGGTTCTTTCTGTAATATTTCAGTTATATTATATCGTATTATTAATTTTCATTTTCTCTTAGCCTTATCCAGTGGACTGCAACATTTGATGTCCGAAGTGATTTACGAAAGTTTTTGTTGCCTTCTCCAAATCATCTCTCAGTTGAAGGTCTAAAAGGAAAGGTAGTATGTAGATCACCTTGGAGATTATTGTTGCACCACATTTCAGTTAGTGGACTTCATTGTTCATTCATTTGGAGTGGTTTCATTCTTGCGAACCGCGAGCGAGCGAAGGCCACGCCAATGCGGCGGCTCGCGGAAGCAATTCTGCGTGTGTGCGGCCAGCAGGGAGTATGACTGAATTAATTCCCTGTCACATGAAAGGGAAGGTCAGTGCAGATCGCATGTTTTACGTTCAGACGTTTGTGGTTCTGGTTTAGTTTACGATGCTGTCAACACGTCCGCAGTACAAATCCGGAGTGTTATTGCCACATCACCCAATTCGACTCCGCACCCCCCTCCACCCCGGTTGAACCGAACGTCAACCCACAGCGAGGCTTCTTGTGCAGTAATGAAAATGCGTCGTGTTTTCGTTTGAGAACTTTTGAAATTGATTTTGAAATTGTATTTGAAATAAGAATGTGTAAAATGATGCACTGTTTAAACAATTAACGAACTGTATGGAAAAGAATTATTTCTGAGAATCTAATAGTTGTTCAGAAAGTCAAATTACCCTCCTGTTATGGAACACAAAAGTTCATTATCGTGTTTATGAGAACACGCTGCTGAATTTTATCCTGAGCCGGATGAATCTGTTTAGTATTTCAACATGTTAGATTTTTTAAGACCAATTTTAATATTATCCTCCCATCTACGTTTAGAACTCTCAAATGGTATCTTCGCTTCAGATTTTAAGGCTGAAACTTTGTATGTCTTCTGTATGTGTATGCAGTGAATTCGTACAGTATCTCTGTGAGTAAGTAATGCTGTTATCTGTGTTGAAGAGGCTTCCGTGTTTGCTTAAAGACGTTTCGGTATTTGACTTCCGATCACATCATCGTAACTCTGTTGGAAGAGGAACATTTCACCTGCTCCAAATGAACTGAGACGGAAAGGAAACGCGTCAGTGCTTTTGACTTCGCATTCCAATATAATTGTGTTTTAAAAGAAAGAAAACATTCTAGTTCAGTGTCTGCTTCGGAACCAACGACTGCCCACGAATAATTTAGATAGCAATTAAATCTTGAACATACTGGAATAAATGTTCAATGTTTAATGGTAAGAAGCTATCCCTGTAGCAGGCCGTGAAGACCCATAAGGCTGTGAGACGCCGAGGCTCCAACATTTTCTTTAGACAATCGGCTCACAGATGGCGGTGATGTTGTCAGCCTTACGCGTCGGCCTCCCTTTACCCCCCAGGAAGTTTCCTGGTACTCATTTCTGTTAGAGGCTGAGTCGACGCCAGGGCCATAGTGCGGCTGGAAGGATCAGGTCAATTGAAAAGAAAAACTCATCGGGTTTCGAACCCGCGACCTTCCGGCTTGTAGCATAGTGCCTCAACCAACTACGCTATCGCAATACTAGTACTGTGAAAATAGTATGTAGCTCAGGTGTTAACGTGCTTAGTGCGATTCTTAAGCTTTGTGCATGATTTGTCAACAAAAACCTTGAGTATTTAACTCCACGGAGTGCTTGTACTTTACGTAATATCTTAAATATTTACACATCCTCTTGACTAAACTACTTAGTTCAATAATGATTTTGATGACTTAATTTGTTTGGTGTGTTTCGAAGTTTCTTTACGGATATTGATGACACGAGTTACAGAGTGTTTTCACTAGAAGTTGTCAGGCACACTTAATTTGATTGACATCGGCCCAGTACAACTCTCGAATTTTATCAACAAGAAGTTCTGGGAAGAACTAATCGCTTAATTTCCCTTTACTACACACTGAGTGACACGACACGGACCGCATACAAAACACCGCGTCCAACATTTCTGTCGCTTGTTGCCGCGGAACCGTGTTTCCCTAGCCGTTGCCGATAGGGGGATGGATACATAGGCACAGAGAGATAGACAGCAAGATGATCTCATAAGCCTCCTTAAATTTTTTAAATAAGGAAGGTAGACCAAAATTGGCCTATCCATCAAGTAACTGGGGGGTTATACTGTAGATCATTTCGACTTTAATTTCAGGTATTGTTTCGTAACGGTATAGAAGGGGACTTACGATATATACCATCGAGCTGTGTACAGAGACGCGTGGCTACATCTGGGGGAGCTGATCCCCAGTCTATGTTTTGACAGCCATTAGTGGACTGATTATATGAACACGTTGGTGTGCGAGTGTGGCTGTAGTTCACCTCTCTCGAGCCCAGGCACTTGAAGCATGTTCCTGTAATCATTCAGTTTCATTCTTTTTGGTAAGAAATGTAATCTGCTGGTTCGGTAATATAAATGTTATTATAGACATTGATGGGATAAATGAAAATTCATGAATTTCTTAAGAGATTCTTAATTAATTAATATTGTGTGTTGAGGGAAGGGCGGTCGGCGCATATGGCTGACATACTCACCGCCATCTGTGAGCCGATTATCTAGAAAATGTGGGAACCTCGACGTCTCACAACCCTACAGGCCTCCACGGTCTGTTACAGGGATAAGGTATCCCCGTAACATGCTGTGGAGGCCCATAGAGTTGTGAGATGTTGAGGCTCCCACATGGCTCACAGATGGCGGTGATGTTGTCAGCCTTACGCGCCGGCCGCCCTTTACCCCCCAGGAGGATTCCTGGTGCTCATTTCTGTTAGAGGCTGAGTCGACCCCAGGGCCACAATGCGGCTGGAAGGATTAGGTACATTGAAAAAATCTACCTCATCGGGATCCGATCCCGCGACCTTCCGGCTTGTAGCATAGTGCCTCAACCAACTACGCTACCTCGTGCCCCTGTTACAGGG